CGTGGCCCAGTGGAGCTGAGACCAAGCAACCTCTTAGGCTGGCAGGGGTTGTGATATCACCAAAACTATCCAAAGCTTGAAACACAGGGGTGACAAGCGAAAAGAAGACATCTGATGGACAGCGTACCATTTTCATGAAGACACTTCGGTTGCTGTTCCACTTCCACACTTGGCCAGTAACGAACTGGATGGAAGTCGTAGGCTCAAATCTTCCCAATGGGATGCTGGGCCTTCGAGCCCAAGTCTTGCTGTCTTGCTTGCGAGCAGTATGGGATGCTGATGGCCACGTCTGCTCTGGGCAATGAGCCCGATCAACGCGACAGTCTGACAGAGTCATTGAGTGTTGAAAGGAGTTCCTCCAAGAATTTGAGTCAATGCTATTCAACCCAGTTTCTTATTTGTCTACTCAGTCTACTCATGTCTACTCACTCACTGCCTACTCGCTCTCGCAAGATGCGGCACGTGTCTTCCTGGTCCTCAGGCATCAGCCAGAAGTGGCGGCAGATTTGCTTCAAGAAGCGCCCAAGTTGGCGAAGGTCCTCCTGGACGGACTCATTTGGCGATCTCACAAGACAGAGGACCGACAACATCGGGACTTGATGCACGGCACATGACAGGCCCTGGAAAGGCCCTGGTGGTACGTGGGACGGACCTGTTCAAACGGTCATGCTTAGGCTCCTGTGCTCGGAGCCGGTACAGTATCCTGCCTCACGGGCGACAGGGAGTCACTGCATCTCTTTACAAAGGACATGCTCCGGAGCAGGTCTATAGATGCTCTCATTCCAGCGCAGCCATACCTGGATGTCTTTTCCAAAGCCAAAGCATGTTGCAGGAGGGACTTCGACCAGTGATCTACTACATGGAACATTTGGTGCAACTCGGATGGAAGGGTGGTCCTTCTTCGAAGTGAACACCATTGGTCCTGCCTCGGCCTTGGGTTCAAGGAATTCCTCTTCACCTGACCGCGTCGAAGTCGGGCTCGCATCCGTGCGTCGTTGCGTCGTTGCGGGGATGAACAGCGAGCTCTCCCACGGGTTCCTTCATGAACGGTCATTCCAACAATCTCCAGGGTGCAAAGCAAGACTTCACGGGGATGCCGAACACCCACAGGCTTCCGTTTGCCACACATGAACACACGATTCCACAGATCGAAACCGAATGGCATAGAAAGGCATAGACCGGCCTTGCTATATCCCTTTTTGACACCTTTTTTCCAAAGACATGCAAAGACCAGTTTATCACTCCAACGCCACCTACCTCCCGAGAATTCGTCGCTCCGACAGGAGTTCCGCAGCTTCGTCGCTCCTAGGCAAGACCCGGACGAGACGCAGATGATCTCGAGAGCCTTTGTGAGCTTCGTTCGCTTCAAGAATCCGGGATTGATTGTCCATCCCATTTTGGTCTTCGTTTCAGATCTGGTCTGGGACAAGTTGGTGCCTTGGAAGCGGCAAGCGGGCTGCCTGGGGATGATTTCGTGCCCAATGTCTATCTCGTTTGGAAGAGATAGACATTGTCATGGATGTCATTGGGCATAGTGTTATTTCCTTGTAATATCTATACTATGGTTGTCACTGCAAGGCGCGGCTGCTTTGAGGGCGTTTTAGGGTGAGAGGGAGCAATGGAGATCCTTCAGAACTTCAGGGTTGGATTATTTTCCGAAAAGACTTCGTCTACGACAGTTCAAGGTTTCGGAGGGTTCAACCGTTCAACCACGTCGAATTCTCCTCGTTCAACCGTCCCTTTGAAGACGAAGATGGAAGAACCAACTGTGATCCGTCCCAAGCCTTGAAAGATGGCTTTTTATCATGTTTTCTCAGGCCTCGACACGAACAGCATGGATGCATGGCGAGTAGCAGCATGCCTGTGACATTCCAGAATCCGACGATGAACAAGGGACTTCAATGAAGCTAGTTTGACCATTCCTCAGCTACCCAGTGGATCGCCTCAGCTACCCTGGACCACGGGCCATCGGAGCGACCGGAGAAGCATCGGGCCATTGGAGACTGAGAACGCAGACGCCGCACGGAGCGACCGCTGATCCTTTCCACCCGGTGAGGCAAGGAGCTACTTCCTGTGGGATCAAATCTTCAGGCGGGACACGTCTCCTGTTGGGTGAACGCCGCGTGGCTTTTCTGAGTGGAAACAGTACTAGTATCAAGGTTCGCTACTAGGGGCTCGTGGCATCGCTACTAGGAGCGATCGGACGCTACGAACGGGGCTCCTGGCCTTACGACTAGCAACAAGAAGCTACTAGGGAATGGATTTTCATGCATTTTCCATCACCCCAGGGTCGAATCTGTTGATTTGTTGCTCGCGCACGAGGTGTTCCGCGCGTTCCGAACGCCTCATCTCGCCTCTGAGGAAGTATCACAAGATCCAGAGAAGTGGAATAACTATATATGCATATGAATCACTTGATATAAAATCGACCGACTTGGGTCATGATTTCTTGGACCGGGATCCGGAACCATGAGAGTTTCAAGACAAAGCGTCCAAGACAAATAAGACAAATCTAGCAGTGTGGCCACCAGGTTTTGGCTTCCCACCCGCATTGACCTCTCCAAACGGAGAGCAAGTTGATTGGACCTTCCAATTTTAAGATAAATGGCCACCATTTGGATGAGTGTTGGTGTTTTTGCTGATGGACTTGGATCTCAGTGTAGACCAAACTTCAGCGTCTGGAATACCGTGCACGTGACGGGTCCATGACATTCAAGCTAAATTGGATCTTTTTTGGCGGGGTGTCTGCCACTCCGTGGGTGTCTGTCAGAGTCTATCAACCCTTGGGTGTCTCTTTCTGTTCTTCCATGTTTTTCCCCACCTGCCAGGTGAAGGTTGTTGGTTTATCAGAGCTGTCCGGTCCCGCCTCCTGCGCCTCCTCCTCCGCCTCCCGGTCCTCAACCGCCAGTGCTAGATCGCAGTGGGCACTGCGCACCAACCGACCTCAACCACGAGTGCCAGCTCGCAGTGGGCACCACGTAGGCGCCGCTGGACCTCAACCGCAAGTGCTAGATCGCAGTGTGCGCCACCTGACCTCAACCGCGAGCGCTCAATCGCAGGGGCGCCATCGAGCCTCAACCGCGAGCGCTAGATCGCAGTGGGCACCAATGTGCCTGAACTGAGCCAGATCGCAGCTGGCACCACTGGATCTGATCCAGATAGAAAGCATGCCAGAAAGATTGTCAGACAATGTGCCAAAAGAATGTCAAAACATACGCAGATAGAGTGCCAGAACGTTTGCCCGGTAGAGTGCCAGAATATATGCCAGATATACTGTCAGAACTTATACAAGAAATACTGCCAGACAAGTGTCAAATGAATATGCCACGTAGAACGCCAGAGTTAAGGCCAGATAGAATGCCGGAACATGTGCCAGAAAGAATCTCAGAATCAACGGCAGAAAGACGGTCAGAAAACATGCCAGATAGCATGCAAAAATATGTGCAAGATAGCCCGAATGCATGCCAGATAGAATGCCATACTATAGTCCAGTGCATATGCAAGATATACACTGTCTTGGTGCTGTTGAAGCAATACAGCTGTCGGTTATCAGCAGACTACAATGCCATGGTGGGGATCACTAGAACAAAAGTCTTTTGCTCCAGTCCAGAAAACATCCCAGACTCCCAGACCCATTTTGCTGATGCACAAGACGAAAAAGAAAACATCATGTAACCTTTTCCACTCAGAGGGCGCTGACGCTTCAGAGAGCAACCGTAGTAAACCTTTCTGAAGGTGTCAAGCCCACTCCTTTAGTCCATCTTGGTCAGACATCCACAATGACGAGGTCGGTGACACCCGAACTTTTCGTTTTGTCCAGAGTTACCCTTGTTCAGGACCTTCGACATGTCCAGGAATCTTAAATTTTTCTGGGAACTTCACCCGACCTCAAGCTTCCAAATCCCACTCGGATGTTTGAATCCATGTCCCCGGGCCCTCGTCGCCTCGTCATCAGTCGAGCCTGACAGGTTGCCCCCCCCCCCAATACACACACAAAAAAACACAAAGTTGGAGGTGACATGAGGCGACCGTGTTTCACCCGTGGCTTCGTCATGGTCACAGGTTGGTGAACTTTGTGATCTTTCTCATTTCAGCCTGCGGCTTGGTCAGCACCTGATTGTGAGCCCCTTCCAAATAGGTCAGCATCGGTGCCCGAGTGCCGCCGAACGGATTGGAGACATAGAGTGAGCCACGCTCAAGCGGTCCTTCGACCACGAAATGTGCATGAACAGTGGCGTCGTGTTTTTTTTCTTCAAAAGATTCAGTGTTGCAGTTGAACTTCCTTCAGTAGTCTATGTTGATAGGGACCTTGATGCGTGACATCTATTCAATCTATTTATCATTGTAATGTATATTATATATCAGTATCGCGGAGATGGAAACCATAAATGGGAATGTTGAGGAAGGCGAACTCGAGACCTTTCATATCTTCCCCTCAACCCTGAACATCCTGAACTCAATTTACCTCCCATGAACCCTCAAGTGCAAACACCGCACTTCAGGTATGTGGAACCGCTTGGGAAGGGGTTGATGGGGCTCTTCCTATGAGCACCTCCCCTCGTTTTTGGATGCCCTCAGGCTTTATGAACCGCGCCGAAGTCATGCTGGATCCAGTGCAGCTGAGACTGAACATGGACGGAGTCTCCGATTGGTCTTTGAGCAATACCCTCAAAATGGGTCCGCTGCGTTTGAGAAGAGTGGAACATACAAAAAAGGAAGGGGCCATCATCATCGATTGCAGCCACAGAAAGGATTCATTTGGTTTGGGTTTAACTCCTGTTGATCTGTTTGTGACACCCCTCGAACAAGACCATACTCCCCAATAATCGTGCTTTGCTTGGATTTATTGTTAAGCTCACATCGATATGGTATGGTCGCCGTTTTCATGAAATGACTAAGCCCACTGATCCGTTTTCCTGGCGGATTTCGACCACTTAATTGCTTGCCGCTGCCTGGCAGCGTCCGTTGCCACTGGCAACGGCAGGTGGTCCAAGTTTCTCATGGCTGCGAGAGTGTTGGTCTATACCATGGGATTTGGAAAACTCCTGTATTCACACATCTATGAGATGCACAAGGCCTCTGTGCGAAAGGAGCGGGTTTTTTTCGGTGTTGGGGGCGGTAACGAAAGATTGAGGGAGACTTGGTTTATGTTGGTTGCAGCAGATCTCCTATGCAGTCGGGGTTCCTACCCTTCTGAGCCAGGAAAGAGGCTACCTACCCATTGTGAAAATGACCCAGTCTTTGCGCCAACTTGTTTGTGTGCTGTGTCAAGATGTGCTTGATTTTTTCAACAGAAACCAGTGACTAGTGTGAAACGTTGTCCCCTTGCAACCTGCTTGCTATTGCTTGCTGAGCAACGAATTTGCATGGACTGTGCACCGTCATCCTTCCCCTTCCATCCAGTCTGTTCTTTAAACAACGGCGGAGTTCGTTATCTCAAAATTCCTTCGATGGTGCAGACTGGGCCATGGTGAGCGTAAGAGGTGTTCGATGATGTTCGGGGTAGGACTGGTCCAGGCCAGTGACGTTGGTCAGGGTGGTTTGCCAGATTTCCACAGAAGTTGTTTGACGTATACTGACGCGTATACTCAAACTGTGACCCGATCGCGAGGAGTGGAAGCAGATGTTGGGGATTCGGGTGCCAAAGTACCTGCTGAAGACCACGGAGATGTTGAGCTTCTTCTTGATGGTGGATATGGCCTTCATGCTGACGGCGCCATGTTTCATTCGTCAAGTCGGCGGTCTTGGGTGCATCACATGTCCATCGGTACACACCTTCCACATCTTAGTCTCTTTTTCCACATCTTCCCGAACATGTGCCCGGATGTCCTCCCTGATGTCATTTGTCCCCAGCCTAGCTGCGTGGACCTGTCTCTCACGCTGAGCTTCCGCGGACCCTGCAGGCTGAACCCTTGCTCCACTGCTTTGGATATGAGGCAGATGTGGCTCAGCGGAGCATGGAAGGGCGACATGAACAATGGATCAAGAAAAGCAAGAAGGATCAAACAGGATTTAGCATATTTAGCCGTGTTTTTGGATCAACACCCAACAAATACGTTGCCCTTTAAGTTAACCCTTATGACATATATGTCATCAAATGGTTTGGGTCGATGGGTCGCCCAAATTCGCCAAGGTCCTGATCGCTTTCACGTGCGGTGCCTGGACGGATGAGCTGAGCAGCTTGGCGGTGGGACAAAGGAGCTTGGGAGTTGGAGGGAGAAATCATATACTACAGTTACATACATACATACATATATAAATCTAATTAAATCTATGTCTACAATACACCAAGCACTAATTAGATATGTTCAGAAAAAAGGCTCTGATGGGTCTTGTGAAAAACACTGTATAGTTGAGCCCTCTAAGACGAAGGTTTGATGCATTGGAGACATCTATATCTCTCTCTCCATTCCACCACAGGAGTGGCGATGTGCCAGCAACTGTCTCTTTATAATTTTGAAAGGATGATTTGGTAGGTGGACAAAGAAACCACGGAGGTAGCTCCAGGTGACGGTTAAGACTCCTCCCGGACACTCAGTTGATTCCACGGATCTCAGTGTCCCTGGGCCCAACGTTTGGGGCCCACCAAACCCAGCACACGTACTCCTGCAGTACACATACTCGGTGATTTTTCCATTTCTTTTTGTGGAAGGGAATACCAAACGTGATCCAATCCAAGCTGTGAGGGAAAACTCTGCTCTAAAACATTGTCACAAGCTTTGGAAGCTGGGACAAATCGCCCTCGTTTTCCACCCAGGATAGGTTTCCAAACCCAATCTGGCCAAAAGGACACGTTTCAGTATCTTTGGACACTGAAACCAGCCTAACAAAATACATTCAACTGCCGAAGGCACCAGCTGGACAGGTGAGACATGAATTCAGTTCAAGATTGAAAGCATTGGCATCTCCATGGTTCATGTCCTTTAACATCCTAGAAGTGCTGCTGGTCGGTGCACATTTACCAAGATGTTGGCAGCACTTGAAATATCGGACCCATAAAAGACCACGGGAATGGGCAGATCTGACTGCTTCGATCGTAAGCGCCACAGCAAAGACAAATAGTGCACTCCCCACCCTAGCGGCCAAGTTTGAAAGCTTTCATCCTCAAAACAATGGGTCTCTCTTATAGATTTTCCCTTAAAGCAACGCTGGGATTGTAATGAGTGGGCACAGTCCACTCAATTATCTCAATTGGGTTTAGGTCCAAAGACCACATCTTTCTCCCCCCGCCCTGAAGGAAGGTTTCGAGCCACCGTGGCTGCAGAAGGTCACGGCACGCCCTTTCTGATGAAGTCTCATCGTCCACTGGTGCGGTAAGGAGTCACATCGTCCATTCGTCCACCATCCGAGCCATGTTGGGTTTTGGAGGGTAGATCTAGCCTTTGAACATATGGAATCCAAAAGTTGATTCGGCTCAGGCTTCGTGTACCAGTTCTTCAGCATTATGGGGATCTTCCTGCTGCTTGGAAATAGACCGGAGAGCTCTCGGTCAAAGGTTCCACCAAGAAGGGGTAGACCGAGTAAAGGAATTGTTAAGTCCTTTTCTCTGGTGACTGGTTGACTCTCTCACTGCATTTGGTAATATCATGTAAAATTAGTGATGTCTATAGTCATTGTCTTTTCAGGTCAATTTCTTAGAGCCTTAGAGCCTTTGTGGAGATGGGGGGACTCACCGCGATGGATGGCTTCTGGATCCTGCAGGACTTGAAGTCAAGATTGTGAGCAATCACTCACACTCTTGGTGACGTTTATTGTCGTTTTTAGGATAAACTGCAAACGAAAACGCCTCAACCCAGTGATATTCATTTGGAGTTTCACACCAGATTCACCCCAGAGGGATGTTTTGAAATGGATCAACTCCAGTGATCCATTTTCAGTTTTTCCACCAGATGCTCCAAAGGGGGCTCTGTCAAGAGCTTCCGTCACAAAGCATGTGATGTAGGTGTTTTAGGCCAGCGGATCATCCATGGGGATGGGCATGCTGAAGCGGACACAGGACATTCCACGGAAAGTCTATTTCAACTTTATTGTTCCCTTCCAAATTTCTGTCCAGTGGAACATCACCCGAAGACTTCCGCAAACTGCCTGATGGCGCCCTCACAAGTTGCCCTTGGTCAGGTATGTGGCGCTCATTTTCGGCATTGGCAGCAGCATCTCCATCCAAATTTCGGAGTACCGGGTCTTGTGCCTCCGCGCGGTGAAGCAGGCACATCGAGTTGTTCGAGTCGAGTTGCGGACGGTCGAGTCGAGTCGACTAGCAGCTGACACATAGCGCACGAGTTTGCCAGAATCCCAATTTGCTGGGTAGTTTGTTTGGTTTAGTTATTGATTAACCTTTTATTAGACTGCAACTCCCCAAATGTTTGGTGTGATACATTTTGTGTGGCGTAGGCTTTTGGTTTTTGCACAGGCGAAGCCACGTCGCGAAAGAGTGTATGAAAGGTTAAAACTGAAAGGAACTGAGAGCTACTAGTAGCGTCCTTGTTCCTAGTAGCGATGCCAGGAGCCCCTAGTAGCTTCTTGCTCCTAGTAGTAGGGCCAGGAGCCCCTAGTAGCGTCCGGTCGCTCCTAGCAGCGATCATGAAAGCAATTTGCGAAGCCTTCGGTGTTGTGCCAAGCCTCGCGAAGCCACCCCTTCCACAAATTCTGACCCTGCGAATCCCCATTGTAGGCAACTCAGCAGTGTACAGGCAAACACGGCTCATGTAGCAAGATTTCATGGACATATTAATGTGTATCCCATCTAGCACAATCAAAAACGCAAGTAAATTACCCTGCTTCTCTCCTGATTTTGGTCCTTTATGATCGCTGGATGCACCTGGTGATCAATTTTATGCTTCTTCTTTTTTCCTGCTGGACACTGCTTGCCCCACCCACCTCGCCAACGTCAACGGCCGTTTTTGTTTTTTTCCGGGACCTCGGGGACAGAGGGGCCGCCAGGTGATGCTTTGCTTCGGGGTCGTGGCCTTGGCGATCTTGACCTTCGCACTCTCGATCAATGCCATGACCCGCGAGGCACGGGATGCGGGGTGTGACTTGGTGGTGTGAAAAAGGTCCAACTGGTGGTGTGGTTGAGCTTCATGAGTTGCCATGGTGCCACTGACTTGTGGCAGAGGATGTTTCATGGTGTCAGTGAGTTTGGTGTCCAAGTCCTGGTTCATGCGAGCTGCGAGCTCTTGAAATTCACACGCCTCTTGTGTTCCCAGTGGCTCAATTCATTGGTGGATGGACTTTGGGATGATCTGAAAATATTGGATATATATCTTAATCCCCCCCTTGTTAATCTGAAACATTGGCACAGTTTCCAATTCCTGGTCACCTGAGAGTTCTGTTTTCCCCGCGAGCCATGGGCAGGTCCGGAACATCTCCATGAGCCATGCGACTTGATCTGCACAAGCGCAAAAGCGTAGAAGGCGCACAGCCTGCGCGCACGGTGGGCCCCTGGGGCCATGCGAGATGGAGTCCAAGTGGTGTGGGAGTCAGAAGGGACTCACTGGAATAGATGCCGCCCCAGACAGACCCCCCCAAACACCACCCCAACTGATCGGCAAAGATGGCAGTCCCATTAGTCGTGTCTGGGTATATATTTGCATGGCATGCGATGCCATGAATTGTGTTTCCTTCGTGGGCTGTCTCCAAGGAGTGGAAGGACCTTGGCTCGATCGTGACCAACTTGTTTCAACTGGCCGTTGGCATGCTTGACCTGGAGCCTGGATAGAAAGCGGCATCGGCAGGTTCTGGGGGTTCGCAACAAACAGGGGAAAGCCGCAAAGAACCCCAGGCGGAGAAACGATGTTTGTGGGGGAAGGCAAATCGCGCTGTTGTTTCTCCAGACATGTTCATGACGAGCGTCTTTTAAGGGAGGTAAAGACAAGACGCGATTCCGTCAAAACCTCCAAAACAGGACGTCCACGGTGTGGCCACGACACCCCTTGACTCAGACTGGCCACGCTGGGGGACATGAATCACTCGGAAGAACGTCCGAGCTTCGTGCAAGTCGACGGGTGGCGGCTGAACCGCCGGGGTTCGGAGGTTCGACCCACCTGAGTTTGAACTGAAAGAATGTGGATGAGTGACGGACTGCAGGATTTCCTTTTCGCTTGTTGTTTGAACGATGAACATAAGTACTGAGAGATGGATTGTAGCACCAAACACTCTCCCAAAGTCATTCATTTACAAGCAGCTTGCTGTTTCTTTATTTCTGCGCAGTTAATTTATAGTATACACTATACACACAAAACATGGAGGAGCATTGTTTGGCATTGTTGCACACCCCCTGAAATCGAAGTGAAAAACGTCCACCTGTTTGGTATTCCGATTGCGTCATCCGAAATCGAGGCCATGCCATCCACGTAACCATGATTGTTTACAGGGAGTGCTTAAATAGCGAGACCCCGTGACCCAATGGATAGATAGGCCATTGTTTCAAGGTTGGAGGCCATTGCCTATTAGGTATCTTTTGCCATTAGGTTGGAGGCCATCATTGGTTTAGTACCTGGCTGATACGCAGCCACGCAGGTGGACAATCAAAAGCTCGTGATGATTCCAGGGAGCGTAGCATTATGTCTGCCAGACCCCTTTATTCTAGAAGCAAACAAACCAAAAAAAGCAATCACAAATTCAACCAGAAAAACAAAAGCAATCATAAAAGCACAACAAGAGCAAAAAAAAGCAACTCCAAAATGCAGCCAGGCAAACAAAATCAATCATAAAAGCAAAAAAAGCAAACAAAATTGCAAGCAACGATGGAACAACTCACGTTCTGGCGCACTTTTGGGGGAGGGTCCACTTTCTGACGCACTTTTGGTCGCTTTTTTTCCTTTTTTTTCCCGGCGCCGGGTAAAAAGTCGTACTTTTGGTCGCGTTTTTTCGCTCCTTTCGAAATGAGTGACCAAAAGTGTGACTTTTTACCCGGCGCCGGAAAAAATGGAAAAAATACGACCAAAAGTGCGACATTTGACCCGGCACCAGAAAAGACCCTGGTCCAGTACTAACCCTACCCGGCCCCCCCAAACTACCCTCTTTGTTTTGCTTGTGCTTTTTTGGTTTGCTTTTTTTGTGTTTTTTTCAAGATTGATGATTTCTAGAATAAAGCCACCTCTGGTGAACATAAGTGTAGCAGTTCTTTCGATTTTGACTCGCAAAAATGACAAGGATTCTCTCTTTAACCTGGTTTTGCTCAAGGTGATTTGTTCATTTTCCCTATGGTGAAGTCCCCTTCTGGGGAATATTCTTTAAAGCAAATCCAAGTTACCTGGCCGAAAGCCCGCCTTGACGAGGAAGTCCTTGGTCACATGGCCGACGAGAGCCCCTTTATGCTGATGGCCTCTTGGCGTCCAAGGGTGCGTAGGAGCGCGTTTGGGTGGGTTGGTAGGACATGTAGGGACCCACCGCATTGGAGTGCAGGAATATAGCGCGTGACTTGACCTCCAGCCGATAGGGTGTTTAGGACCACTTGATTTGGAAACCAGTTGCGGAGCTTAGTTGAAGTAGATGTTTTACTGGTCTGAAAAATGAAGTAAGTGATTAATTACTAGACTAGTGATTCTTCTTTGATGGAATGAATCAGATGTTTGCTTTTGCAAGATTTAATTGTGCCGGCACTGCGGGTTCCAAATCTGCGCCGCACCGATACACCGATACACCGATATCCCCCACCAATAGCTACCCCCAGCCACAGGATATCGGCTTATCGGCGGCGCACCGATATACGCCCCGATATCGGCGTAGCGGCGCCGCGCGCTAAAAACCCGCCACGCCGGCATGCTGCAAGATCTTTTTTTGCTTCAAGGTGCTGTATCAAGATTGATATTCGCCTGTTGTTAACAGATTGATCCCATGATTCTCTTGCGTGTGGCAGGCCATCTCTAGTTCTGCCAAGCGTTTTGCTAGTGGACTTGACCATTGCATGTTTCACCATTCCTTCAAGCAAAAACTCTGTGTTCTGTGCCAAAGTACCCATCACTCTTCTCCTTCAGATCCCAAGTTCTGAGGTCCTGGCTGCGTTCATGCTGTTGGTCTACACCTTCTTCTTCAACTTGTTGATCTCGTGCCCTGACAGAGCTTTTTTCACCGGCGCACTTTCCTCCAGCCCCGCGTGGACACCGAGGCAGTTCTGTGGGGTCCATTCGGCCCTGGCCAAGGACAGCGAGGGCCATGCCCGGCTGTCGCGAGGAGAGGTGATCTTGGACACATTGAAGGCGAGAGCGGGAACTCGGCAAATGATCCGATTGACCCATTGAACACGGTCAAAAGCTCTGTAAGTTCATAATATATTATAGGCCTAGGGGATAACAAGTGGATGGCATTTCTGCCTCATGCCGGAGCTCTTCATGCCGTTGACTCGTTATCCCCTATATCATATCATCATTATGATGAGTTTCGACCAGATTTTCCACTTCGAGGCATCTCCTACTTCAAGCATCTCCCCAATAGCCACGAATACGTACGAAAACCAAATGGTTGAAGCCCCCTGCAGCATGTAAACATGGGACGTGGAAATCCAGACCCAGACCTCACCCGGAATCAACGAGCGAATCCGGTGCTGCGAAACGAAGACGAGAAAAACCGTTTCGCCGGGACGAGGCAGTGCAAATGAAACGTTGGAAGCAGCAGCCTGGTCAGCACTGATGCTTTTTTTCCCGATCTCACGTCTGAGAATTCAAGGATCAGAGGATTGTCACTTCATCCAGCAGTTTATTTGGTATCAAGTCTCATGTGGATCAGGGAGGATTTGCTTTTGTAGGCTGTCAAGTGACTTCGGACGTTAGATTCAATCGAATCAGCGAATCTCTGTCGTCCCCTGATCTCGGAGGATCTCACGCAGACTGACCGTGTCACCCACACTGGTCAATGGTGGGTGTCTCCTGTCCAGTCACCACAGCACTTGCCCCTGCCCACGTGTAGAAACGAACGTGTCCGGAACCGCCTCGACTCTCCGACCTGAAACCTCCATGGACGGAGAGTCCGAGAGAGAGAAAGCACCGTCCGGTGCCCAAACGGTGTCATCGCACCCTCCGGTGCCCCGAGGTTCGTGACCTCGTTGGCCTTGGAGAAGCGCGTGGACTTCGCCGAGGGCGACATCGGTCTGCCGGGAGGCGCCCTTTTCTCGTGACAGGTGTGGAGGGTGTGGCGAGAAAAACACATATAGATACCAGGTTCCAAGAGGGGCTTTCTTGGGTGTGATGTGGCCACAGATCAAATTATTCATCATGGTTCTGGAAGAGAACCAGCTAGTCTCTAGAGTCTATAATATAGATGATCTTGGACCATGATGGAACACTGTTTGGTTGAGGATTTTTTACGTGGGCTCAGATTCTTGATTGTTCTTTTCTTGTCCTGCAGCAAGTGACACAGGGATACACAGAGGACATTCCAAGTTTCTATTTAAGTAATTGGTCTAGTAAGTCTATAGTAGATTCAAACTCTGGTGGAGAATGTTGTCCAGAAAGAGTATTGACGGCCTGTTGATGGAATGCATAGTCAGTAGGAAAGAGGATTGCCATTTCAATTACATGTTGTTTAGATTGGTTACCCCCCTGTGTGTAGAGCTAAAGACTTTTAAGCGACAAACCCAGAGAGACCCACACACACCAACATCAACAATACACAAACACTACTTCAAAGCGCCACCACGCACGGTTTTCAACGCCGTGCGGCGTTGTCGGTCGCCGTCCGAGCGGTCCGAGCAATCCGAGGTCTCAAAGTCTTTGAGCCCGCAGGAGCCAATCCCAAGACACAGGAGCCTGCAGCGAGCTCCGGTGGAGGTCTTTGAGCAAACGACTGAGGTGATGGTTTTTGTTGGATGGGTTTTGTTCTGACGAAGACAGCAATGCAGCAATGCACTTGAAGACCTTAAATGCCAAAAGGGATCAGATATGATAATTAGATGAGAGGTGGGGGTAGATCTAGAAGACATTGCCTTCGCTTTCGGACCTTAGACTGGATGCATGGGGTGTTGGTTTGCTCCGGGTGAAGCTGGAATCCGCAGTGGGTTGAAAGGACAGCAATGAATTTTTAACACATATAGGACCTCACTGCAAAATGGTGCAAGTGAAAGTATAGCAAAATGCAATGTTAACCACCCGAAACGGGAGTCATCCGGGAATGGGCCATTAAACGAGGAATGATACCGCCCAAGCCATAACAACCCAAAACGGGACATGATGGCATCCGTAAGCAACACACGCGACCATATTTTTTATTGCTGGAGCCATGAGAGACAGGAAAAAGAGAAGACACATAGACAAAGAGATAAATATAACACAGGACAAATGTAAGAATGAGAACCGGCATGAACGGGCGATGGGAAGTGGAGAACATGCGCATGTTTGCAGCATTCGAGGGTTTTGAGGTTTTCAGGATCGTCTTGGACTCATATCCAACGTTCTTGCCCAGGGTTTGACGTGCCATCTTACAGTGAACCCCTCTTTAATATGGCCATTCCTTTCAGGAAAAGGCCTGGATCTACCATTTTTTGGTATTTTATTCTTTCAACGGAATTGGGCCGTTGGTGCCGCTGCTTTCCTCCAGGACCAGATCATCCGTTTTGGAGGACATACGGATCCCTCCTTGCCGTGGCCCGAGAAGCATCATGATGAGGGCAACAGTACGGAGAAGAGCCTTGGACGACGGGGCGTGGGTAGTGGAGCAGAGGGCGAGTTCAACCGAGCATTCAATATGGTCCCTTTTACGCAAGATGATGTTGTTCGATATCGCTTTCCACAACTCGGATGTGTTTTTTTGTCTTTTTTTTGTCTTCGAGTCTTCTGTCTTGCTTTTGAAGAACCAAAACCGAGAACCAAAACCGATGTTCTTTGTATAACCGCGAATAATTCGTCCAAGGAAAAACAAAATAGCCCTCGACCGACAACCCACTGACCAGCCCTGCGTTCCGCCAGGTTTGTTTTGGGCGAGGCCTGTACATAGAGAGATTCATCCAAAATGGGAAACTCTACGAACTTGAAGGCACCATGAGTCCTGTAGAGATCTCTGGAGGAATTCTTGACGTTTCTGTTTGCACGCTGTTGGGACGCTCTCCACAACAAGTTCTCCACTTTCCCCTTTGATTCCCGTGGTTTTCGTGGGTTCGGTGCAACCGAGGTCATCCGAGGTCACTCTTCACACGAGGTCAGACGAATCGGTTCGCCACAGAGACGCGACGTTTTCCATGTGAACTGGGCCAAATCGATTTCCCCCACCACCGGGGCATCCAGTCCTACCGGTTCGCCATCCACGGTCTCAGGATGATCCAGAAGACGCCACTTGGCACACGAAACGCGGACCAACCGACTTGAGCCGGTCTTCGTGGTGGGACACCCCGGTCAGACCGGTCGTTGGGTGGCTTGGCTATGGAGTGATGTGTTGTGTCAGCTTCCCAGTGATGGAATGCAATGGAAGTTGCAATGGATACTGGCATGATCGAAGGATCGAACATCAAGATGGCTTGTACCATCTTGCATCCCAGCTTAGCATTGACATAGATACAGATACAACATATTTTATATACAACATTGACAGTGGTTCCCCGGGAACATGTACCATGCATGTTGTTGTTTCGATGTCAAGTTTGTTTGGGGTCTTGAAGTTGCCGCATCAATATGCATTAGAAGGGAAGAGAATTCCGGGCTAGCTACCGCAGTGACCTACTGTTTTTTTCCCTCGTGGCAGATCCACCGCTCGATTCCTCTTCCGGAACCAACCGCTCATGGTGGCTCCCAAATGAAAGGAATCCTTCCGCTGGCGGTCCTCGGTCGTCCTTTGGATCTGTCTCGAGGATCCAGAAGTCGCTCCAGCACTATTTGGGCAAGAAAGGTGGCACTGACAGTGACTTTACGCCGCTGGGGCTGGAAGGCTTTGCTGAGAGGTTTGATGTGGAGACAGGAGAGATCCTTTGAGATCCTTTGAGTCAAGCGTTCGCGGATTGACCTCACTCACTGTACTCTTTGACCCCATCTTTTTTTGGGGGGGAGGCTTGTACTTACTGTACTCCAGGGCAGTGTTCAAGGGCGCTTCCAATCTGAGACTCCAGACTGCGGGCAGCTCCCAAAAAAGGATGGCAGGAGCTGCTGATGTGACCTTTTTCAGACACTCCCAATTGGCGCAAAGCGGTGGGTTTGCACCTTTTTGCAAAGCGGTTGGTAACAATTTGAATCACCCAAGCAGCGCTCCTCTCAATCAAGCCGTCGTTGAACTCGAGCCGAAGGTGCATTCGAAGTATTTGGGCATGTCAATCTTGTTCGCCCCCATATGCCCCAATGGGAGGTTTTTCGTCCATTTTTCCAGCCAGGGGTGTTTTGAGACCCCTTGACCCACATCTTTTTAGTATCTTTGGGCTCCGGATGGTCGATGGCTCCCGTCTTACTCCTCGCAAAGATATTGGGAGTGTCACAGCAGCATGACCGTTCCCAATTCTGCGACATGTAATATGTTGACATAGTATGTAATCATGTCATATCATCTATACATCACATATATTTATATAACATACACCCTTAACTTAAGTATCTATAGTCTGTGTGCAAATCATAAGTAGGTATATAGGCTCGTGATCGTTCAACCCTCAAGCCATAAAACCAACCCATCCCAGAACCCAAACCCACACCGCCCGTATGTCGGATGATGTCGTGATATATAAATGTAGTCCCCATGGGTGGATGCCTATACATAATCCATACATACATATACGTATAATAGTACTTTTTAAATAACACATTTTTAAATACAGTATATAAATTAACATACACATATATATATATACATACAGTTTCCGGAGAGCCTAGTACACTTGGATATGACATTTTTTTTTTTTTGGTTTTCCTGCAACATTTGCGCCTAAGACTCTGGACAGATCTTTCCCTTGGGTGCCATACTTTTGCACGGCTTCATCTGAGGCTGAGTAGCAGCCATAACAGCAGCAGCCGCAATGGAGGAGATTAAGCCTAGCAGTTGCGCCAGACTTTCTGCAGATTTTGAGCTCTGCTGTACCCCTTCACCAACTCAATCTCAAAACGAGGACTCCCCTTCAAGATGGTGATTGAAGAAACCAATGAACCAGATTGTCTTAGAAGGGCGATCTTCCTTTTGAGCGGAAGCGGATGCCCCTCGCCCAGTTGGAAATTGGGTGACGCCCTGTGTTTCGGCTCGCTTCATTTGAGAGTTTGTGGGAGGGTGCGGCATTCCTTTGTTTCCCTCGCCGACTCTCAGCTGCTCCAACCGCTGTCATGTCCTGGCAAGGGTGGTCGAGGGATGCCGGGTACAGAGCGAATTCAGGGATGCTTAGCCATCGACTTCAGCCACTGAAAGAGGCATTGGAGCAGATCGATGACCCACTGCCACCAGTGTGCACCAGTGGCAAGTTTTTCGTTGGCCTCGACCCATTATGTTGAAAGGTAATACTATATATATATATATATATATTCCCCCAAACGTATCTTGGCGCTGTAGGAACTCCCTGAACGGCTTGAATCGAAGTTTGTGTTGTATTCTTTGCGGTGGACACACTTTGAATTGGTTGTTTGAACGCCCTGGAGAAGACTGGCCATGGGCAGCTCTCCTGCTCAAGCACATACACAAAATCTTTGAGATCCTCAGAATACATGATGTAGGGGCTTGCAGGGAAACGCAACAAAGAGTGCCAACAACAACAACACCAACAACAACAGCAAACAACATGAGTCTTCCCCAGCTTGAAGAAATATTTTAAGCAACAGAACACCCGGCCTTTACATGGTATAGATAGAACCTGTTCTCTTCCATTTGTTTCTTCTGGAGCTGAGATGTAGATGGTCCCTGCAAAGGAGTAGCACTGTGTGTGTGTTCCTGATTCTCGAAATAACATTAACAGAATTCAAGATGTCAGAATCTAACAGACCACACACAAAAGATTAGAGTATTTCAGCAACAAACACATCAAGCAGCAGTGTGATTCTTTGTGCTCCCAGTGCTGTGTTTCACAAAATTCTGACATTCCCACTTTTTCTCCCAAAACGGAACGACTCCACGGCCTTGATATCTTGGTTTGCCTTGATTCTGGCATTCGCAACATCTGCTCAACGCGTTCTTCGGTGGTTGTGTTTCAGTTTCAATTGCCAAGGCCTAAGGCCTTGTTCATGTGCAGACCAGCGCGACCTGTAGTGATTGCCTGCGACTGTGGGAAGGGACCTATGCTCCCTTCCGGGGGTGTTGTTGACAACGAAGCGAGGCTTCAAAGCACCAAGTTGCCGCTCATGTCTCGGGCCGAAATCCGCCTGGTGAACTTTGGGTGAAAGGATACAAGAAGCTACTAGGGGCTCCTGGCATCGCTACTAGGAGCAAGAACGCTACTA